GGGCCCCGCAGGTTCGACCGCGGCCCCTGCTCGCTGTACGACCCCCTGTTCGAGGGGGGGCTCTTCGACCCCGGGCCCCTGGAGGACCCCGTGGACGCCGCGGTGCAGCTGAAGAGACGCAGGCTGGAGGGGCTGAGGCTGGCCGAAGGGGGTGGCGGTGGGTGTGCCGGGGGCCACTATGAGCTCGGGGTGCAGGCAGCCCCCCCGCCTCCCAGGCCCCTGGAGTACAGACTGCTGGAGGAGGAGAACGCGCTCCTGAGGAAGAGAGTGGAGGAGCTGAAGAAGCAGGTGAGAGAAGGGGGAGACTCACGGCTCGGGCCGAAAAGAAAGGGTGAGAGGGATCAGAAAAAGGAGGGACACGGAGGCAGCGAACACCCCCTCGAATTAACGTTTCCTCCGCTGACTCCTCGTCCGTCTTCCCCCCTCCCTCTCTCGCAGGTGTCGAACCTGATTGCCACCAATGAGGTGCTGCTGGAGCAGAACGCCCAGTTCCGCAGCCAGGCCAAGGTCATGACCCTGTCCTCTACGCCGGCGCCCTCAGAGCAGAACCTGGCGCCCCCCGTGGGCTCGGTGAGCTCCTACAACCACAGCATCGCGCAGACGCACACCACCCTGAGCAGCGCCGCCCTGCAGCCGCGCCCCGTGAGCCAGCAGGACCTGGTGGCCCCCGCCGCGGCACCCCCAGCTCCCCCGAGCAATGCGGCCCCTCCCTCCGCGCCCCCGCCGCACCTCAACCCGGAGATCACCCCTCTCTCCGCCGCCCTGGCCCAGACCATCGCGCAGGGCATGGCGCCTCCTGTCTCCATGGCGCCCGTTGCGGTCTCCGTGGCGCCCGTGGCAGTTTCCATGGCGCAGCCCCTCCCTGGCATCACCATGAGCCACGCCACCACGCCCATGGTGTCCTACCCAATCGCCTCGCAGAGCATGCGCATCACCACGCTGCCCCACTGAGGCTCGCCCGCCTCCCTGGACAGGACAGCTGCTGCACGGGGGCCGGGCGTCCGGACGGAGAACTGAGAAGGAAGTCCTTCGAGTCTGGGAACTTTGTTGACCCGGAAGAACTTTTTTTTAAATTGAGTTTTTTTTTTAATCGATGATACAATACTTGTAGCTAAAACAAAAATGTTGATGCGTTTCATAGAAAAACACAGAGCCTGATGGGCAGACTGCTCCCATACTGAGGGGTGTGTGTGTGTGTGACTGGATGGGGAGACTGTGCCTGGGGGTGTGTGTGTCTGACTGGATGGGGAGACTGTGTCTGGGGGTGTGTGTGTGTGACTGGATGGGGAGACTGTGTCTGGGGGTGTGTGTGTGTGACTGGATAGGGAGACTGTGTCTGGGGGTGTGTGTGTGTGACTGGAT